AATCAAGATTTGGAATTTAATGGTACGCAGAGTAACCTGTCAATCATGGGAATTTTCATATTTTAAAAAAATTCTCCACAGAATTAATCTTTTGATATCACAAAAATCTAATTCAGATTGTTGATTACTTCCTGGCTCAGCTCTAAACATGATCCCAAAATKAATTTTTTCTTTAGGGGGGTTGGAAAGGGGAGAGTGGGAGAGGAGAAATGAAAGCGGTTTTAATTTTTTCCTGTTCCCTTTGTAAAAATAAATACATAAAATTTCTATATTAAATCTCTATATAAGTAACACAGTGTTATTCAATTTTCATAAAGCATTTGTATTCCTTAAAGGTTTTCTGTGGTTTTATTTCAGTTTTTCCTCAGCAGACCCTATTTTTAACTAAGTAATGCAATACTTAGTTCATTCAAATATGCACTTTTTCTATTTGCTTAAAAGTAGCAAAGGTTTTGTTGATGAAAAGAGACACCTCTAAGATAAAAGCACATAAATACGTAGAAGCTCCTGAAATTATTACTAAACAATTTTTTTTAAAGCAAAATGAGGCATAGACCTTTGGGGGAAAAATAATTTAAAATTAAAAAACAAACAAACAAACAAAAACAAAAACAAACAAAAAAAACCCCAAAAAATAAACAAACAAGCCATCAATATAAATATTTCCTAATCTCCTAAGGAGATTTTTCTCATTTTTCTAAAACTTTGGTTAATTCAACATGAGAAAATATAAGAATATAAGAATAACTTCAGAGACAAACTGTCCATATTTGATAGAAATTTTATTAAGAGATTATGAGTTTCACTTCATTTAAAATAAGAAACAGATGTACAACTGGGAAGATGGTGAAGTGAATTTCTTTCAAAATTCCTTTATCTTAGATCTTCAAATTTCTATACAGCCTAAATTTTACTTTCAGTGTGACCAAATTGCTGTCTATTCAAAGACAAATTTTGCATTTTATTGTGTGAAGAATCATTGGTAAAGTGCATAAAGCAGCACATGGAGCAGAAGTTTAATAGGGTTATTATGGTCACACCTTGACACGACTCCCTTAAAAAAATTGCCTGAGAGTTACTGGAATGTAGATTTGACAAATTGTTCCTTTTCTCTTTGCTTGAAGTCCTGTGCTTTCCCTGCACAGGGCCATGGCAAAACTGTAAAGGGATTGYTGTTTTCACTGCTCTGATGTTAGGCATTGCACCAGAGAAGGAACACCTATGTAATGGCAATTGTAGCTTCATTTATCCATTTTATAGATGGAAATATGAGTTTCACAAAACCAGGCTTTGTCATGTGATACTTAGCCAAACTTTGTCAAAAAATGCTGGAAAAGTGAAAGAAGCTGAGACTTAAATTCTACCCCTGTCTTCAGCACTTCAAATTGACTGGTTTAAACTTTTCACTTTGTGCCCTGGATAACAGGAATCTCATTTTAGTCATTTGCATTTTCATTCCACTTTGACGTGTTAGAAATATTAATGTTTAAGAAAGACTTGAAAACTTCAGAGATCTATGTAGTAAAAGAAATAGTCTAATTTATAACTTTAAGTATATCAAGACTTAAAGTAGTTTTTTCTTGGTCAAATAATTAAATCAGCTACTGCATAGAACAATGCTGTATAYAATCAAGTGCATTGAATAAATAAATATGATGAAGTGCACTGACAGCAAAATGTTATTTGTAAAGCATTTTCTAAAAGATATGCTTGGCATATAGCAGATATTTATTACCAGAAAGGATCACTTCAATAATAGGAAATTAGCAAGACGCCTTATTAAATGCTGCAAGGAAATGAGATTACTTCAGATATGTTTTTCTCACTATTTAATTTATTTCTGCATCTGTATGAGAAACCATGTTTGTGATTTTACTGATAGCTCAGAGAATATGGGTATAATTCAGTATTCACAGATGCATATTGTAAGTGAGGTGTAGAAGTTTCCATAAGTTCTTTCACATTGTAATGAAGATCCAATGTATCTTTGAATTTTATGAAATATTCTCAGTAGTATTGTGACCAGCAAGGCAATCCAATCTCTATCATTCATGTTAGTATTATTCTCACCCTTTGAATTTCTGCAGCAYGTTTTCCTGAATGCTCATTTGAATATGAGAGAACCCACCAGACAACAACTTTTCTTTGTGTTATACAAATATTGTAAATTTGCATTGCAAAGAACAACAAGAGAGAAGTATTCAATGTCCTATTCAAAGTCTATTTAAATTAGTACATAGAAAAACTGGGCAAAAATAAAATGAGGATTTTTATGAAATAAAAAAAGGAATAGTTCACCAAATCCCATGTTAAATGGCTAAACAATAGAAGAAATTCAGAGTGTAGTACTCTGGTGTTTAAAAACAATTTTGGTGGTAATAAATAAAGAGTTTTGTTGCATATAATTTTCATGCGAAGCTTGACTTTCTGTAGATTTCCTGTAGCTTTTTTCTCCTTAGCTTTTTTCTCCTTGTCATTTTTTTAATGGTCTGTTGGTTGTGTTTAAACATTSCAGCTGAGGTCACATCATCATATTAGAAGGTATATATTAGAAGGTATAGAAG